GAGATCATGGAAGTTGTGAATGAAGCAAGAGGTCAAAGAGTTAATGCTGACGTCATAGAATATGGAAGACTGATCGGTTTTGTGGTGCGGTTGCACAACCAACCGCACACACACACTTGCTCACTAAAAACAAGATTTAATCTAACCGCACCACAAAACCGATCAACCGATCAGTCTTCCATCTTCTATGACGTCAGCATTAACTCTTTGACCTCTTGCTTCATTCACAACTTCCATGATCTCATCTATTAGCCCCCCCACACACACACACACACCAACTCAGTCGTTCCTACCCCTAGACCAATCACAAGCACCTCCAATGGATACGGTTCCTCTCACGAACTTTGTTTAATGTTCACTTGTTCATTGACTTGAAAGAGGCCTTCCACGAGGGTCGAAACGTCGTCAACCGAAAATTGTTGTTCTTGGTTTCCTCTCGTTGTGGCTAATCCAAACATTCCTATACGGATCTAATACTTTGAAGTTGACTGAAAAACTGTTCCGAAACACATGAACATTCACATGATCCAACACAGTTTACTTACAAATCAACTAATTCCACTTTGGATCCAGTCTCTACCCTTATTCACCTTTTCATTAAGCCCTCAAATGCTGTTAAAACCAAATCAGTTTTGTTTGGTGTTCATCCTTCAGCATTTAAAAAGAACTTCAATCTTTCAAACGGTGTCTAGCATATTTAGCTAACTATTTTAATGTTAGAAATTTTCATCTCGACGGCGCCGGTGATCCTCGAAATGACTGTTCTGTATTCAAATATATTTCCCATGCACATTCGCACTATCGCTGGNGAAACGTCGTCAACCGAAAATTGTTGTTCTTGGTTTTCTCTATACGGATCTAATACTATGAGCACAACGCACAATTTCTTCAAAGACATCCGTTCCAACTTTGGATGTGATACGTTGAAACTCTAAAGTTATAGATGGTAAGAGTATGAGAGGATAGAATAACTGGATGCGTTTGTAAACGGAATTCAGCAATAAGGAATAGCGAGAGTGCAGTGATTCAAGTGACTTCTAAGAAGGCAACTGCAAATTTGCAGTGTCATGCTGGTTCGCAGCGAAGGAAGGATTGAAATAAAAGCCGATTATAATTAACGGGCATGTAACGCTCTTAAATCACTCTTCCAATGATAGGAATGAATATAAAGCTAAAAAAAGATCCAAACGAGGTTTGCAATACAACAAACTATTCGATAACCAGGGAAAGCACACCAACTTGTTGTGTAGACTGTATCTGATGCGAACAGTCCGAACTCACGTGCAACTGTCAACCTTTCCAAACGCCTCGAACACCGTTTTGACGTCAGAGTCGGTCAACTCGGGGTGTATAGATGCTACGTAAACACGACTTCGCGTTTTCTCATCTGCCCTGAGCTCGGTCTCTAGCGGACCAGTTTGGGGTGCATTACTTGGTCTTCCGACCTATAAAAACACGAAAGCAAACCAATCAAATTCTACAGTAACACTAAAATATTTCATCAAATTGCTGAATTTTCTTTCCTATACACATTTGGCGATACTGCATTCAACACTTGACCGAATTGACGCATAAGGCTAACAAAAATGTCTCCCTCGCTAAATTGCACTAACACGTTGCATCTACAATGGTTAACTTTTTTACATCCGAATATTGATTTGGCTCAAAAATAAGAGTAAAAAGCAAAAGTCGAGGTAAATTTATGTTGGCTATCAGCTAAACAAGTAGTACATTTCCAATTGATACCTGTTATTTGTTACAATGACTTCGTCGATTCATTCCGTCATATTTTCAACCAAATCGATTTATGATCGTTAAGCACACCTCATTCCACACTGATCAAAAAAGCTTTTCTAGATCTGCCCAGACAGGGAAACTCCATTTTTGTAAAAACGAAAACATTTGAATCGAAATCGTATGAAAAAACTTTCAAATGAAACCAAATCTCATATCGGCAACGCAGCGTAGCTTATCAAGTTGCATGTAACGAGAATTTAATATACGGGTGAAAGGATCCCGTGGCGGACGACTTCAATTTTTGAGAGCTGAAGGATGAAAATCGGCAGTGCAATGCACTAACCCCATTTTCTGAGTTGACGGAGGGTCTTTGCAGGTATGGAATGCAATATAGATGAACAGGAAAAGCGAACGTGTTTTCCGGAGAAGAAAACTGAACGCTGAAGAATATTATCATATGTTGCCTATCACACCGGTAGTTGATAGCTGAACTATAAGATAACAACACCGCTCCTCATCGAGCGAAACCCGTTCGTAAATTAAAAACAAACGTTCACATGCGAATGATGCCATAGCAGACACACTCATCAGACCTAAACCCACATCACACAGGTGCAGGATTATTTGGGTCGTAAGACGGAGAAGAAAGGAGTGTTTATAGTACGAACAGATTCAGAAGCCACTTTTGTTTATTTTCCGAACTCGGCAATTTTCCAGTGAACATTTTATCATCAGCTGAGGTTACAACTTCAGCGCTTCTTGAATAGGAATTTTCTGCCTCCGTCCGTTCAGCTAAATGTTCTTCTTCGGAGGTTCTTGGTCCATCCTTTCCAACGCCTGATATCTAGTTTACCGTTGAATTGGAGTCGTTCATCAGGTTTGACTGAAGTAACAAATCCGTTGTCGGGTGGCGATGTGGTCTCTCTTTTGTTGCGTCATTTGATCCTTGATTAGCATAGTCACATAAACGTGATTTAGCTACATTTTCTGTCCAGTTAATTGATCAAATATGCAAAAATTTGAGAAATTCCCTGGCTTGTTTGGATCGGGCTTCATCAATGATTTTCCTTGATCTAAAGTCAAATTTTTGTCCTAAGTCTTCATGCAGTAAAATGAATGAGAGTGGGTCTTACTCCTTGTTAAGACGGAGCTCACAGAACCCGTCAAGCCACACACGGATCCGCGTCGCACTACAACCACACTCGCGACGCCCAAGGCAAGTCGATTCCGCATTGGATGACTAGGACGAATCAGACTGCTGTCGGCCGATCGACCGATCGGTGCCAAAGACGAAAGTCGTTCCCGTACGCCCATTTGCGTATCGCATCATGATCATGAAATACACGCTGATTGTTGTTCTCCAATGGTGTTCTCTCTCTTATTATTACCGGGGGCTAAGGAAGAGACGCTCGTGTCGGTTTTACGTCGAGGCAGAACATAACACTCCTTGGCTCACAATCGATGTTCATGAGACCTTGCTGATAATGTTCTTCCCTTTGCTCCATATAGTGTTGAAAAGAGTCCTTAGAGTTTATCCTGTAGATTACGTAGCTTCTGTGTCTCCGTAGGCAGGTAGTACTTTTTCTCCAGGTTCTTCACTACGTCCTCGGATATGCATCCATATATTGGTGAGCCAGTTAGGTTCTGTAGATTTCGCCTTGGAAATTCAGAGTATGTTGAAAGCATAGTTCCCCCAGTTCACAGATGGCAATTAGTTCCGCAGGATCGTTTGACCGGTGCTTGGTTATTAGATCCCCAATGTGGATCAAAGTAGTAAGTGTGGGAATACCGAAGGAATCAATGGTTTGATCTTGTTTGCTGGCATTTCAGAGCTTGGCCATTTCCTGCCATGGGCGTCCACATTTGCTTCCATAATTCCTGGGCTAGACTTTATGTAGCCGTTACCGGAAGAAAGAAAACTGGTCTCAGTGGAATTCCTTCCGTGTGTACCTTTGGCAGTCCGTAGAACTGTGCGAAAATGGAGATAATTTGAAACTCCAGTGCTATTCATCGATTGTTTGACGCTATTGTTCCGAAATGTTTGCGTGTCACTTTTCAGAACTGGAACAAACTCTCAACTCCTGTGATATTTGAGAATGCAAAACAAAGCTTCCGATAAACCGTCATCCTAGCTCTAATTCAAAAAAGTCTACCATTCTATTAAACGCGAGGAGAGAGCAGTGAAACACTGAAGATAAACAAAAGTGGAATCACTGTGTCCGCTAACTGCATTAAAAGATACAAACACCTACCGCCGAATCGACACTTTTCGTCCTCAACAAGTCGGAGCGAGAAGGAACACACCATCAGCCGCAAAACCATTATGACCGGATGAAAGAGCGAAGTCATTGCAACAGGTATTATTAGGACATGTTCGACTTTTGCAGCTCAAAATAAACAATGGGTTTACTTGAAGTTTCGCTTTGCATTATCACTTTTGAGATAAGCTAGTATTTCCACGTGTAAGACTAGACATTGTTGATGCAACACAATACTGCGCTTTGGGAGGAGCCCATCTTTGCCAACCCTGTGTACCGCTGAATTTCATGCAGAAAAAATGATCTAACAGGTTGGCCGTAAGAGTGGAATTTCAGAGACAAGTACCACGACCAGTACACGGTTAAAAGGAAGAGAATGGTACCCCTACCTTTAGGTTCCTTCCGGCCAATGTGTATCCGTTCATTTGTTCCAGTGCCAAGGATGCCGCTTCTGGGACTTCGAACTCCACAAAGGCGAATCCTTTGTGCTTTCGGAGAACTGAATCCCAACTTAGTGCGACTGTCTTGATTGGTCCAAACGGTGAAAACGTTCGCTTCAAATCTTCATCTCCTATCTCAAAGCTAATGGAACCCACGTAAATTCGACTTAGTAGGATCAGTGCGTGATTGCGTTTGATTGTATTTAGGTCCTACAAATATTAACTCCGGCGAAAAATAAAGTTACTTGTTGCTGAAATTGTGCAGCTTGTTTTCTCAAAGCATTCTGAATGCTCTGTTCCAGTGCATACTTCTTTGCAAGTTGTATGGTGAATCGCTGGTCCTCGGTAAGCGGCATTAGGGAAAAAGGTGTTGGTCGAGGATTTTTGCCGAACACGATTTGATCCGTTGGTGAGGAAACGGGAAAACTAGTCAATATTTGATCGAAGTCAGTTGATGCCAATGACACAAGTTTAGCCATGGCTAAATTTGGCAAAGCTTTTTGCATCGCGTAGAGCTGAAACTAATTGCAAAATGGAATTAAAGGTTATGTCCTGAAATATTTTGCTGCATCTCAACTGATGCCTATTACAGATAAATACTGTTTATGTAGATTTTGAGAATAGATTACAAAACAAACAAACGTGAATGAGGGAGGGGTCACCAAGGCAAAGCCAGATTGAGGAATAAGTCATAAAAATGATATAAAATGAGCTTTAATCGACTGATTACAATTGCTTCAGCGACCTTGGGCATTCTGACATTATCGCCAAAATTGATCACAAATGATTT